GGCGAAAATCGTAAGCCCCTCTTGGGAATATGTGCGTAGGGTTACCCTGGTAACCCACAGGAGTTTCCCGAGACAGAACACTCCTTCGACACCACGCTTTCGTCAAAGATCTGTGGGTTTGCACAAAAACGGCTTGAGCCTCAAAATGTACCATTGTTTTCTCTTTGGTGTCTAGTGGGTTTCTCTTTTTCCTCTTTGGTTTCTCATTGGTTTCTCTTTGTTTTCTCTTTGTTTTCTCTTTCATGTCTCTTTGCGTTCTCTTGGTGTCGGGCTGGTTTCTCTTTGGTGTCTTACTTTTTTGTGTCTCTTTGTTTTCTGTTTGGTTTCTCTTTGGTGTATGGTTGGTTTGTCTTTGGCTTCTGTTTGGCGTCTCTTTGTTTTCTCTTTGGTGTCTGGTTGGTCTCTCTTTGGTTTCTCTTTGGTTTCTCTTTGGTGTCTGGTTGGTTTGTCTTTGGTTCCCCGGTGGTCTTCTTTGGACTTCCTTTCAATCAAGGCTTCCTAAAACAGGACCCCCTAATTCATGATCTCAAAAGAATCCTGCTTTGGCATATTGACCTCAAAACAATTGAGGGTTTCCCTGTGAAAGAAGCCCAAGAAGAGAACTACCTCCTCTACATTTCCTCTTCAAAGAATAAGCCGAACAGGGGCTTCCCCGCAGAGCAAGACGTCCATTTTGAAGACGTGGGGTGCATGGCAGCCCACAGGGGAACTCACAGGCCCTAAACAATGAGAATAGGGTGGGTGCCCGTTTTGGGGTGGATTTTTTGGTAAACCAAAGGGAACTTCCTCCACTCAATGAGACGCACCCACATCTTGTCATTGCAGGGGCACGAACCCTCGGTGTTGGCTTTCTAAAAGCTTAAATGCGGTTCGTGTCTGTTTGGCGTCCCAAGCCGTGTTCCTTTTGGTTTCCGTTTCCTAGCGCCTGTCCGTTTCGTTTCCTTGCCTTATCGGAGAATTCCCTAGGCCCACGACGGGGCACTGGAACGTCACCTTCCCCCGGGACTCCCTGGGGCGCTCGGACGGGGACTTCGTGCTCGCGCCCTCCCAGTGGCACCACACGCAGCGCCCCGGCCGATTTGGCGGGGTGGGTTTGGCGGGCGCCCCCCCCCGTTTCGGATGGTTTCGAGGGGACGCCAAACCACCAGCAGGTGGTCTCTCGGTTTGAGAGAGCCCATATTTCCCTCGAAGGGTATTTGCGGCGCTTCTGAAACTGGTTTGTGTGCGGGTGTGTCTCTGTGCGAGTGAGTGAGTTGAGTTGAGGTGAGGTGAGGTGAGGTGAGGTGAGGTGAGGGAGGGAGGGAGGGAGTGTTTGCGTGGGTGGGTAGGTGGGTGGGTGGCTGGGTTGGGGTTGGGTGGGCGGGTGTCGGGTCGGGCGGGGTTGGGCGGGGTCGGGTGGGGTGGGGTTGGGTGGGGTGGGGTTAGGTGGGGTTGGGCGGGGTTGGGTGGGGTTGGGTGGGGTTGGGCGTTGGGCGGGTGGGTGGGGTTGGGCGGGTGGGTGGGGTTGGGTGGGCGGGGTTGGGCGGGGTTGGGAGGGGTTGAGAGGGGTTGGGTGGGGTTGGGTGGGGTTGGGGGTTGGGTGGGCGGTTGGGTGGGGGGTTGGGTGGGGGGTTGGGCGGGGTTGGGCGGGGTTTGGGCGGGGTTGGGCGGGGTTTGGGCGGGGTTGGGTGGGGTTGGGTGGGGTTGGGTGGGGTTGGGTGGGGTTGGGCGGGGTTGGGTGGGGTTGGGTCGGGTTGGGGTGGGCGGGGTTGGGCGGGGTTGGGCGGGGTTGGGTGGGGTTGGGTGGGGTTGGGTGGGGTTGGGTGGGGTTGGGTGGGGTTGGGTGGGGGGTTGGGCGGGGTTGGGTGGTTGGGCGGGGTTGGGTGGGGTTGGGTGGGGTTGGGTGGGGTTGGGTTTGGGTGGGGTTGGGTGGGGTTGGGTGGGGTTGGGTGGGTTGGGGGCGGGCATATATGTGGGTGTTGTTTGTTTTGTTTGTTCTTTGGTTGCTTGCCTGCTTTTTTGTTTGTTTGCTTCTGGCTCAATTGTGATGACCTCACGCGACCTCACCCCAAATGGTGGTTTATGTGGGGAATAGCCCCCCCAACCACCTTATTTCAGGTGGGTGAAATATCACAATTCACCCAGTTGCTTACTTGCTCGCTTGTTTTTGATGGCACCCTTTTCAAGTTGGTTTGAACGGAGTCCAAGAGGACAAGCACCATTTGAGCAGGCAGTTGTTTGAGCAGGTGATTCTTTTTGAGGGTGCCATTTTTCTGGTTGTTCTCCCCTTTTTTGGTATTTGCAGGGAAACCAAAAGGAAGCAAACCTAATTGAAAGGCCCTATCTCGAGCAAGACCCAGATGGTGTTTTTGGAAGGTGCCATGTGTGGGGTTGGTTTGAAGGAGCACCAAGAGGAAAACTACAATCCTTGGCGTCCTCCTTTTGTGACACATTCCCAGATACCCCAGATACCCCCCCTATAGCAAGTGGATTCTACTACTTGCTTTGGCCTTTATTCTCGTTCTAGTAGAACCCAGGGTCGGGTTTGGGCGCTGCTCTGGTGTTTTGCTCGTTTGATATTGATAATAACATGAAAACCATGATGCAAAGTACTTGGAAACCTGGAGCCCTGAGTTTCCTTCCTGATTGGGAAGCCACTTCCAAGTCAAGTGCATTCAGAATAAGAATGTGTTTGGGATAGAAACTGGTTAATCTCAACATGGCAAGAACCCTTGCATGGGCAGCGTCCCTTGAGTTTCCCTGTATACAACCCCCCCCCCCCCGGTGGGGTGGGGTGGGGCATACCAGAACATGACCCGTCCTGAGCGCCCTTCGGTTTCCCTTGGATGGCGATGTCGTATAATGATTGAAATACACGTAATCATTTCAAGATGGCAATGACAATAAGGCTGTTTCGCGAACAAAGCTGACTATGAAGATTCAAGATGTCTATGTCAATGCACTTTTCGCTGGGAAACCCCCGTAACAGAGTGTCTTGGGTCCCAACAGTCCCCACTGTTTCAACAGTCCCAACAGTCTACCCGAACTTCCCCCTTGGTTTCCCTTCAAAACCCACGGAGCTTTTCCGCTTTTGAAAGCCAAGGAGCTTTCTGGACGACCGGGGAAACCGGAAACCGAAGCTCATGGACCCCGGTCATCAACATATCCACTTTGTTTGGTTGGTACACTAATCCCTGGTTTCCCCGTAGTAACTACAAATCGCTGTTTAGTCAGGGGTTGACATACCCCAAACCGAAATCTCAAGAAGAGGCATTTTGACACATGGGTGTGTCTTGTTTCGAGGTTGCCGCGTTTTTGGATGGGTTTTAAAGGGAAGCCAAAAGGAATAAATAAGCTCAGCAATGTTTGCAAGGTAGGACTGCTTCTTGCATTTGCGAAGCCCGTCCGTCACCTGTTACGTCAACTGCCATTTGTTTTGGGTCCCCTTTTGAACGTTCAAGCCACGTGTGAGGAGCTTTCTGGACTACTCCTCCGTGGGGAACACCGCGGACTTCGCGGAGGAGTTCAAGAATGCGACGGGCTCCGACCCCGACTACCTGCTGGCCTCCTGCACCACGGCTGGGATCATCTTGGAGCGGGCACTCAGCAAGGCGCGCGACCGTTCGGTGGCGCGTTTTTCGCGGCTTCGCCGAAAAAGAAGGCGGGCAGCGCTGGGCGCTAAAAGAAAGGGGAAGGTTGAATGTTGCGAGTTTCGAAGCTTCAAGAAGGATGTCCCGTTCTTGTTGGAAGTTTGAGGGTCCAGGAAAAAGGGTAACCAGAGTTCCCGAGAACCAAAAGCTCACTTGTTGAGTTCCTGGACTTTAGTCACTTGGGTTTGGCCCATGTTGGTGAATGAAAGTAAAGCCTACGCAAAGCTGTACCACGTTAGTTCAGACCTTTGAATTTCCTTGGAAGTTCCTGATACCAAGGCCTATATCCACCTTGGTGATGGGTTTTGGTCGCCGCTCAAATGATCTCGTGACCGGTGCAGGGGATTTTTGGCAATGGGGGTTGGTTCAGCCAACTATCCCAAAGCCCCGGTTCATTTTCTCGCAAAAAGGCATAGTGAATCCCAAAAGGGCGCGATAGTGTTTGACACCACGCTCACACCCCAAAGAACAACAAACCCCGATGTCCTCACTTCAGGCGGAACTTGGGAAGGGAGCAGAGAAGTTATAGGTCTCCTTTTCGGAAATAGACGGCACTGGTTTAGCTTGGTTTTACATGGTCGTCGTTGGGACACATTTTACATTTCTGCTTGTGGTGGTTTAGTGGAAAATCCCCCCACTTAGCTGCTCAAATGGACAATTGGTTGCTCCCCCTTCCAACGTCAACCGAGTTTGTTCCATTTACCAGGGCCATCTAATTTCCCGAAAGCACCAGAGGGGTGGCTTCCTTTGGCAGGTGACTCTCGGGAACTACTCTGAGCCCTCGACCGCGAGCGGCACTTGCTCCTGCCGCCTGTCCGCAAACGCGGGTTGCCTTCTGGACCCTTTCCTTCTTTTAAGGCTAACCCTAGTATTGTTATTATGATCATGGTTATTATTACTGTTATTATTATTATTATTATTATTATTATTATTATTATTATTATTATTATTATTATTATTATTATTATTGTTATTGTTATTGTTATTAGTAGTAGTGGTAGTATCAGTTGAACAGTGTTACAGAGCCCAAACACCCATGAAAGATAATCAAGCCCGTGGTAGGTTCTGCTGGAAATCTAGTGCTTTGGGGTGGTTTCCACCCATATGCCGCAAAAAAAATCGTGGCGGTTTCCCTTAACCACCCAAATTTCTAGCTTGTGATCGGGTTGGTCGGCCCGGAGCCCACAACCGCTTTTGTAGGTTCAGTTGGAGTGTTTTTGGGGTGGAAAGCGGACATGTGTCCAGGAACCCATTTCACATGGATACAAAACTTGGTGGCTCCCAGTCATCCCCTTAGCTTTTCAGCATTTTAGGGTTTAGGGGGGGTTTCCATTTGACACACCAAAAGTCTTATTTCACTTTTAGCAGAGGGCAACAAGTGGGTTGCATGGTCTCCCGAATGAGGTTGTAAATCGAGTTCAGCATTTCGGCAGCTTGTAAAAGGGTTCAACACGGATTTGCCGGCAGGGTTCAACACAAAAGGCTCAGGGTTTCGGGTTTTTGGCACTGCAGTGAAGAGGATGAGATCAACCTTTCAGGGCTTTCACGGCCTGATGAACTGCGTTCGAGTCGGATTCAAAGGCCTAGTTCAGCACGTGGGGGTTGATCCAAAGATTTCATGGAGAGACCATTCGGGAAACCACCGAAATTTCATGATATTTCAACTCAATCGGGGAAAAAGCATGGTGTTGGGGCCGAAGGGAATATTGATCAACCTCCATGAAAGGTTTTGACAATAGCTACAAGCCTACAACTGGTTGTCAACATTGACTGGAACACCACTACATGCTGAACCTTATCAACTGTCTGGGCTTCGAACAGATTTGCCGAAAGCCCTACGTGCTGAGTTTGGATGTTTGGGTTGTACTATTGTCGGCAAAACCGTAGGTTACATGCTGGGTTTTGCCGGCGTGAATGAGTCTTCTTCCAGAAACTGGCGTCTCCAAATACCTACTGTTTTAAGCTGATGTAATCCCCGTGCAGTCTCTCTTCATCGCCGTCAGACTGTTGACACATTGAAGGAACATCCACCCAGCGAAACCAGCTTTTAGGGAAACCAAAAGGAAGCCAGCCAATCTTGGGAATCCACAAAGACACACGCTTTGTGAAGCTTTTAGAAAGCCAACAGCATGGACCCTCAAAACCCGTTAAAATAAAGCGAGGAAGAAACAACTTCACCCCAAAATTTCAGGGACAAGTCCCAATGAAGCAGTTTGGGTGTGCGACACAAACAAACAACATATGTATGTCAAAGAGTGGACCCTCCATGGCTCGTCTTTAAACCCCAACGCTAAGCCTGAGCCTACGTGGCTGTGGCTCAAAGTTAAACAGCCGGGTTACGCAGGTTTTAGTCTGCTTGTCCAATTACCAAAGTTCCATTTACCCCTCTTCTTGAGCCACACCCAAGTGGGTCTACAGCAACCTGGTCCCTAAGCCACCCGTCCGGAACCCGACGTCAGCTCCGAGCACTCGGGGTATCCATTTTTAGGGTGGCTTCGGTTTTCCTTGTGTTTTTCCTTCACCAACATGATGCCCTCAAGAAAAGGACGCGCCCGATTTTGCGCGTTTCCGTGTTTTCCTCGAGGTGATGTGGGCTTTGATGAGCAGCTTCGGCTCATGGTGCGGGACTTCGAGGAATCCCTGAAAAGCGTCGATGCGAAGCCGTCGTGGGGTGTGGTCCTTTCTTGCAAAAACGACCCACCTGGAGTCTCCTTCTGACCCTTTAAAAATGGGTCCATGACCCCATTATTTTGGGTAATGACCCTATTTGTTGGGGGTCATGGAGACTCCTGGCACTTGTTGGGGTATGACAACCATGCACTAAGAATGGATCGGTGGGAAATGCCTGAAGTTCGGAAGACGCAGGCCAACGAAATATGTTTTGTGCCTTTGTATCCATCAATGCCCTGCGTATTCTGTGCCGGCCGGCACAAATCCGTGTAGTCGTTCGCGCAGTTCATTCGACAGGAGGAGACGATGTACGGCAGGGTTCGGTTCGACCGGTTCAACCAGCAGCTTGGGCGGTAATGTTGACCCCATATTAATTGACCTCAGTTTAGTAATAGGGGGTGTTGCCCCCAAAAGAGATGATTCCCCACTAAATCCAGGGACACCCCCCAATTTATAAACTGGGATTGATTTGTACGGGGTCAACCTTGTTTAGGCTTGGCAAGGCTTTGGGCGAAGCGCAAAGGGACTGATTGACTGTTTGGAAGCCGCGCCCAGGAATGTGGGTCATGAGGCAGCAGTTGTGCAAGTTCTTCCCAACATGGGCCAAACCTCTGTCCTGCCGGAGGAGAACGCGCAGTCCCGCAGCTGGTCGAAAAAAGTGCATCTTGTTCTGTAGTTCTTTGGCAGGGCATGCATGCCGGTACACCGCATTTCAAAAGACTACCACTGTGCCGCCCAGAGGGCTTTGGACGTATTTGCTTCTGGGGATGATATCGATCTGTTTCCTCGCCCAGTCCCTTTCATTAGAGCATGTTTTTTTTGGAGTTTTTTTTTGTTTTTCTCCGGTAGTGCAAGGGCCCGAGTTGGTGTCCATTGCACAGGGGTTTGGTCATTGGGGCCACTCCCCTACAGTTTAACCTGGAACCCCCAAACCTGGTTAGTTTTAAAGGGAATCCAAATGGAAACCGAAGCCATTTTGCTCCCCCCTCCCAAAAAGTAACAAGGACCCACATCCAGTGAAAACCTCAGCAGTGTGAGGCCTGAACTTTCCGACTCCTCCGTGGGACGAGCGCTTGGCTTGCCCGCCGAACTGCACGGATCCCAACATCTTCAAGCCCCTCGGCAAGCTTTTCCCCCAACCGTCGGGGGGACAAAAAAAGACCCGCGAGGCTGAAAAAAAGGGCGAGGTGGATGGCCCGGAGACAAATCCAAACACTGCGTTGACCAAGATATTTTCATGACTTGAAGGTATTTCGGCTATGTTGTGCCAATATGGGGAAGTTTCTCAGACATAGGAAAACCACAAGAATGGTTGGTTTCCTTTTGGCTTCCCTTTGCCAACCAAAAGACGGTCGTTGTGATCTGGGCAAAAAGGGCGCAGTGGGATGAAGGTCTTCCGCACCCTAGGGTTCAACCCCGATTAAAAGAACGGTTGACCCAATTTGGATGATGACAATCCTTAGGTAAGTTGGTTATGTGAACCCAGCCATTGGTTTAATGATTGTTTGAACCCCAGCGCACAGTTTCTGGACTAAATACTATATTTTCGGGCTGCCACTAAACATGCGGCAGGCAAAGTGCAGATTGGGTGCCGATCCTTTCAGGATTTGGGTACGGGCCAAAATTAGTCACCGCCAGGAAGGGGCCGCAGGTAGTCTTTGGTTCCATTTGCCAAGGTTCCATTTTGGGTACCTATTTTTCACCCACAGGCATTTGAGGCTTTCTGAATTGGAGGCAATGAAGCTTTCTCCATGCAGGGCTGCTTCAAGGATGGTTTGGACAAAGGAGCTTGCAACATGGGTGGCTTTCTTCCATTTCAAAAAGGCATACAAAAGAAGACCACCTACATTTTTGACCATGTTGAGTATCAGAATATCAAATCCACAGGTTGAATCACGTGACTTTCCCCACCACAAGCAGTTGCGGATCTCCACTCTTTTAGTCTTTTAGTTCTTTACTTTGTTTCAAGTAGACCACTTCAATACCACCGTGTTGCTCAAAATACGGGGGTTCTCTTTGGAATACCTGTAAATGCCAACCAGCAGGGATCCAATTTGCGAGCCTCCCATCAGGTTTTTGGCGTGACTCGTGTCAGCTGCTTGAGTCAAACTCTGGCTCAGGATCGGGGTCGTTGGTCCGGCTGCAGGACCAGGCTGGAGAACTTGACCGGGCTGAACACTACGTCCCAAGAGAAACGCCTAGATCTACCCTTCCTCCCACGAACATGGCACCTGTGGGGAGGTACTTGGAAGATCAGTTTGCCTCTTGAAGGGACCTCCTGTTAGGTGCCATGTTAGTGGGAGGGAGGGTAATTCCCCAGATAGCTGAAAGCTATAGGGGTTCTATCTTCTAATAAAGAGGAGAAAGTGATTTGCGAGATTGATGGGCTGGTGCTAGGGGGCATGCAGTTTGGTGCTGGTGTAGGTGCTGTTTTGGGGGGTGATGGTGCGCTCGTATTTTTGCATTTTTGCATCTTGACGGTAGGACGCAGGAGGGAATGCAGTTTGGTTTGCTGGTGCTGATGGTGCCGTGGGGAGCTGTTTGAGGTGATGGTAACGGCGCGGGCGCATTTTTGCGATATTGACGCGCGGGTGCTATCAGGCATGCAGGTGACGGTGCAGGCGCATGTTTGCATCTTGACGGTAGGGTGCAAGGGGGGCATGCAGCTTAGGTGTTGGCTTGGGACTCTGTTTGGGGTGCTGGTTGATTTTCGCAAGATTGATGGCCGGCTGTCTTGGGGGGTGCTGTTTGGGGTGCTCTTCAGGGTGATGGTGCGGGCGCATTATTGCTCAATTGACGGCCGGGTTTTGCTTGGGGCGTTCTTCGGGGGGTGCTTTTGGAGGTGCTGGTGTGCAAGCACTGCTATCTGGGGTCCTATGCTGGTGTATTCGTTTTTTACCCGGACTCTCAGATTACCCTCAAACAAGAGACGATGCCCAACAGAAAATGAGGAAAATCCCAAATCCTCAGGTTGAGAGACCCACCAAAAGACTGTCAAACATGGTGTTTCCTTTTGGGCCCTTTCAACATTCGAGCCCCTTTTGGGTCAAGCTTTTCCATTCATTCTTGCTTTTTTCAACAAAATGGCCTCAGCTGTCTCCCAACCCCCGTTTGCAAAGCGTCCTCACCGTCTTCGCCCGACCCCAGACGCGCAAGACGGCGCGCAAGCGCCCGCCGTTGAGGTCCCAACTTCCGCCGGGGCCTGGAGTGGTGGGCCAAGAAGGTGAACGACGCGGGGGGGATGCGCACCCTGAATGGCGACCCGGCCGGCTTTGGCGAAGTTGGGGTTGAGGGGTGTGACCCTAGAGCAACCCCAGTGCCCAAAAACAACGCAGGGGTGAGTTTGAACGTTCAGGGGTTCAAGTTGGAAACTGGGATTTGTTTTCTTCAACTTGTTGCTCAGGGTTTATGGTAAATTTTGGGTCCAGTGAAGAGGTCCATTCGCCCCCTGAAGGCATAGCGCGTTTGGGAAAGTCCCCCCCGTTTTGCGAGGAATGTCTAGTAGGGTCCTCCGGATTTATCCAAAGTTAACATTTGGTGTTTCGAATGGGGCCTCCAGTTGATGCAGGCTTAGTCTTAGGTGCTAAATGCCTGCATAGGGATCGAGTTTTTTCCGTCCCCATCCACGGGACCCTGTTGGAACAACAGTTGTGGCTTCCATTGGGAAAAAGGGAAAACATGTATTAACAAGGGGTCGGTGTTCTTCTCCGATTTCCAGTTGGAAGCTCTGAGTTGCAAAGTCGAGTGACTTTCTTTTGGTGGAAAAACATCCATGGGACACGGGTTCCACGGCTTGGTTTGCCTGGAAGATTGGCGGGAAGCCTCTTCACATTGAAATCAACCCCTCAACTGTGTGCCTTCTTCCCTTTTAAATATTTTTCATCTCCCAAATGAGGACATCACCCACTTTCCTATGCCATACCCTCCCGCCAATTTCGTTGGTGGGAGAGCACAAGGGGGGGTTTCCCCAACCCCCAGGCACCAATTCTCCGCTTCGGGACCTCCCCACCCCGCGGGACCCTTCGAGGCGAGCGCCTCACCGTGGAGTTGTCCTTCGAGGACTCGGAGGAGAACAACACGCTGGCGGCCGCCAAGGCGACAAGCTGAGTGATGCTTCCCCAGGAGAACATAGTTCAAAGGGATACCCCCTTTTGAGAAAGCCCCAAAAACATATGTTTCAGGTCCCTTGACCCAAAACCCCCCCCCCCCCATGGAACCTGACTGTCGGGAACTGACTGCCGGGGGTCGGAAGGTCCCTGTAAAGGGAAAATGGCCCAAACCAGGAACCCCCCGAACGTGAGGTTTCGTGTGGATTTGGGAAGTCAACTTTCCAACCTTGGTGTTTGGTTTGTTTTTTTTGGGGGGCACCTACAAAAACCCCCCAGAACCTGAAGGGACAGTGACAAAGGACGGTTTACCTTCAAAATCACCCGGGGGTTTGGGCGGCGACAACCTTCCTTTTACCATGCGTTTTGGGGGCCTGGTACCCAGCTTTTTTTGGGGCTATGACAGGGTTGTTTGGTGGCTTGACACGTCACTCGTTTGGCCAATTTAAGTGATTTTTATATATATGTGTGTGTGTGTCAAAATTTGGACTTGGACCCCCCCCAAAACAAATAATAATCGTGTTCCTACAGGTCAACGTCGGATTGGGTTGTCCTTGAACACCTACCACAAAATCACCTGGCAGGTGATTCAGTACTACTACCGCCTCTCAGACAACGTGCAAGCGATGGCCGCACGGCAACTGAAAGGGGTGAGCTGGTGCTGGGATTTCACTTTTTGGGGGGCTAGCAGGAAGATCGTTTGGGTCGGAAAATCCTAAGCTTTAGAGTTTAGAGGAGAATTAATGTTCAGGATGTCACTCTCAGCCGCAGCATGTCTGACTAGACACGTGGCCGTCGTTTCCGCATTTTGACAATAGGTAACCAAGGGAAACCACAATTGTGACAACCGGTTACTATGCCTGGGATCCCTGAAGAGTAGAGCACAGTTAAGACCACGGCAGAGGGGGGCGCAATGTGATTTCGACCGTGCTTTTCTTTTCCTGTTTAATAGCAATAGTAATAACAACAATAACAATCATAATGATGATAATGGTGATCTAGCTAGTAATCATCATATCATTTTTTTTTGTATGTTCCTTGAGGTGAACACCTACTTCATGCACAACATCGAAGTGAACGAGGCCATGCGCCTGAACCAAGTGGACAAGCTGCTGCTGCACTGCTCCGGAGGCTGCGGCTCCGCCGGCTCGGTCCTGGCCGGTGGGCTCCTTTTGTAAAATGGCGCTCTGAGTCGGTAAAAAAAGCGAGCGGGTGATTCATGGTGAAGGTGTCCTGTTTTTTGTTTTGGTTTTTTTTTTTGGGGGGGGGATTGAGGATGCAACGGGGACGAATCTCAAGGGCTGTTCCAAATCTGAGCTGGGCTCCAAAGTTTGAACGTTCTGGGTCATTAATCAAGGACATTTGCGGTAGGGGCTTTGGAGGCATGTTTATATGCCACCAATACAAGCTTGTTGCAACGCTGCATATACTGCTGGAAAGAAGCGGTATGTATCTTCCATACCTCCGAAATCTCGATCTGAAGATGCCCCTGAATCAACATCAGAAACCGGAGTTGTTTCCCTTTAACCTACCTGAGGGGGTGACTTTGATAATTGTGAAATCATGAAGCCAGATTTAGGAGGATACCCCCTAAATACACTCTTTTTTCAGGGTATCTAGTGAACCCTGACTAAAAGGGAGGTAAACAAACCATGGTTTCACTGGGTTCCAAATTTACACACTAAAAGAAGTCGGTATTTGGAGGGGGATGTATTTCTATCACAAAGCCGCTGTTCCAGTTGCACCAAACACCTCCCTTGGTTGCATGCAACTCCCTTAGCGGGGTCCCTCTGGTCTTTGTTGCATTTTGGGGTCATATTACGCCGAACCCCGCCCTAATGTTCATATCAACTTTCAGGGTTCTAATTCTTCTAGACATAACTGGCAAGCTGGGCAAAAACTGGAGATTTAGTATTGTGCTGGTCTCTGTTTACCAAGCATGCAAACAATTCTCAAAACGAAAAGGAGTAAAAGAAGGCGAGAACAAGTAAGACATGAATGGAAAGAACAACGCTTTGAGCATCTCGTCGGAAAACCCGCAACGGGACTCCAACAACCCCCAGCTTCCCTTTCCCGGCTTGGGTACAGCTCCGCAAGTCCGTGAAGGCCCGTCAAAAAACGACGTGCGAAAACACATTCCCAGAATTTCTTGACCCTCCAACTTTGGAAATGGATTTTAGTTTGACCCGTCCATATTTCCATGGATTTCAAATGGGACCCTCAAGTCAATTTGGACCCTGGATGATGCATAGGAAAACAATCATAGGGAATCCATTGTAGAAAGGGACTGGGGGGTGTGCAGACTCGTGTCAGGTGAGCCTGAGCAGTATGGCTACACCCAGGGAGATGGCCAGCAAAAGCCGAGATGGATCTACCAGTTTGGCGCGGCTCGGGTTTCAACTGGCGAGCCAACGGGACTCCGTAAAGGATGACATCCGACAAAAAATCAGCTGCTTCAAGCCTTTTACACATGCGTGCTGTAACTGGCTCAAATGCTAGGGACCCTGTCGGACTTTGTGTCTTGCCGTCGCCTTGGGTCAAAAGGAAGAGCTGTGGTTGGCCCCTTGATTCTGACCTTCGGTCATTTCCTGACAGTTGAGCCGCGCTGGAGAGGCTGCGGGGGCAGGTCCAAGATCGCTAAGATGTGCGACAAGTCACACATCTTAGAGCCGGTTCTGAGCAATTTCGGTGCCTTTCAATTTGTGCGCGAGCGTTGCACTTCAAGCATGGAACCCAAAGAGGGGTTCCAAAAAGGAGATTCCTCGGACAAATATGTGGTTTGTGTGTTTGTTGTGGAGTCTATCTTAAGCTTAATTTCCGGCAATGATCCTATTTGTGGTCATGGAGATTCCAGATAGACCAACGTCCTGTGGAGTTTGCGCAAGCGTCCTTGGACTCGTTTCCGGGATAGCCCTGAGGTTATGATTCCTTCGTCTACCTATGGCGAAGGCGTCTTCAATTTCGCAAGGAGCTTAGTGCTTGGTGCACCCCTGCCATGATTCTTGAGCGCGAAACCAACCCCACAATGGCCATAGTCTATAGTAGATCTACCAGCTGGTTTTTGTTGGGTGTAGGAAGGTCCACATAAGCCATGTCTGTGTTGGTAGAATCAAACACCAGCTCGCGGTTTTTTTCCGGGCGCAGCGCATATTTCCGGCAACCGAAACTTTTAAAGATATGTTGCCCTTTCAAGGGTAGTGTTTGGGGCTGAGTTTTGGCAGGGCAGGTTGCTGAACGTCAAAAACAGGAACCGGAGCATCGATCTTTGGGGGTAATCACCCTTTTTCAATGATGGAAATGAAAAGGAAACCAGTCTCCTTGTGCTGGATTCGCATGTTGAAAGAAGCAATGGAGGGACGTTCCACCCCGCGTCTTACGTGATCAAAGCCTCCTGCCTCAAGAAATCAGCCAATGCCAGTGCCAGCTTGCTCTCATTGATACCCTATGGGGTTGGTTCAGAGGGAATTTCAAGGGGATCAAATAAGCCACTTGCTCTAAACCCGGAGGTGTAAGGGATAGTCCCAACAATAAATGGGTACAGCCGCCGTCTTACTTATTTACATGGTTCTGGGTGGGCAATTTTAATACCAGGTTCTGACTATGACTCAAACGCCATTCAGCGGGTCTTTTATCTATAGAGATACCCACAAAGCTCTAATTTTGATCGCTTTGAGACAAGCCCACCAACCAGCTATGGCAACCCGCCCGAGTTGTCGAAGAAGTTGGCCAACGCGGATGACGAAGTGCTGCGCCAGATCGTGTCCTCCCAAAATGGCCACATCCTGAGTATGTATTTCGCCTGGGCGCAAGTCTAGCGGCTCAAGGGATGCAAGAGGAAGCCTGATTCGGAGACCAAGCATCCTTCCTCTTCCTCTTCTTCTTCTTCTTCTTCTTCTTTTGTTTGGGCGGGGGTTCTACTTGAAGACAAACCTACATTAGGTTTGAGTCTGAATTGGAAACGGATCATTTGGCGGGCATCACAATGGCCAGTTATCATCTCTGATGATGTTCCAACCATCGAAATTCATGGCGACATGACTTTGGACAAAGGATCAACTGCGCGTATGATATTGGAGCATGACATGTCTTTCGCAGGTCGGCGGGTGGCCTTCTTCCGGAATGTGGGGAACTCCTTTGCGAACTACACCTGCAACGAGGCCATCTACCAGGCGCGATTCGTGCGATCCCTTCGGCGTTCTCCGATGGGTTGTTTGGCAACTGCTTGAATTGGACTTGGACCCCTGGTCCGATCCTTTTCAGTTGGGCAACGTGGTTTAAAGAAACATACTCCCTTTTCTCAATGAAACCTGCCACAAGAAGGGCGTGGGGGTCCCAGGGCAATTGTGGACAAGTTGATCAAGGGTTTCTTTGGTTTCCCTTTTTCAGCCAGATGTGGATCCTGGATCAAATGTCGAATGGAGCACCCCTGTTTTCCCCCGTGTTTGCTCCCCACCTGGAGCCCACCCCCAGTTGCTGAACGGCAACCAACTCAGTGCAGACATGAAATCCGGGGTCAAAGCCGATTTTGGCAAACAAACGATCTCATAGCGCGTCAAACCAATTGGTCAAGTCATATTGGTGAGAAACTCTTTTGGGGACGATGACATAGGTTCCTTGGTTCTGAATGCTTCCAAGTACACCCCCGAACTGGGTTTCCCAGAACTGGGAACGTGAAGCCTTTAAAGATTCCCTCGAAGGCGGGACCCCCACTGCCAGGACAAGCCAGTCTTGAGCATGCGACGCCCTAAAAAACTGCTCCTCCCCAAACGCTTCCGGCAGTCCCCTTTTGCAAAAGGGGGAGCAAACCTCTGCTGGTCTTGTCGCCATTTCAGCTCCCCATGTGCTACCAGCCGAGGCCCAACAGGCCGGCCTGGAGGTGAACGTCAGCACCGACGTCTTTGACTTCGACAGTCGAGACCCCAACTACGCCGCGACGCTCTGGGACCGGCGCTTTTTTTTTTTGATGGTGGTTTTCATTTTTTTCGGCTCCGGGCCGGAGGTGGCCAGAAACATCGTTCTCCGTACAGCCGCTCCTTCTTTCCTGGATCGCCAGGTGACATTGTTTTTCCCAACTGTGACCAGCGTTGGTTGTGTCGCACATTTTGATGCACAACTTGCCCCTTCGCCTTTGCTCCGCATGCTGGCTTTCGCTTTGCCGCCGCAGAGAGCAGCAACTTGATCCGCAGGCTTCTCCAACTTCCAGGTAGAAGCCACCACTAAAAGGGTTTCGTAAAAGGGATGTGCATTGGGTGTAATAGGCTTCAAAAAAACAAGATCCAAAACAAAGGCGAGCCTTTAAGCCGAAGGATCCAGCGAAATCCACTTTGGCGCCTTTTAAGGTTTTGGCGACCCACTTCCCCCGAACCCGGTCCTGAATTGTCTGAAAAGCAAAAGCTGCGGCGCTCTTGAGATCTTTGACCTTTTTGGTTGGACATCTTCGTATTGTTCCACGCCACAACCAGTTTGCCGACTTCTTGCACACCTGTTTTTGTGGGGCGGGGGAGGGGGGGTTGAGGCAGCCATCATGCGTTCTCTGAGCCTTGGAAACGGAATCGCCCGCGTGGCTCGCGCTCGCGTCGCCAAAGATGTCGCCAGACACGGGGGCGTTTTTTTCGGAAAACAGAAACAGGGTCCGGATGGTTTACCCAACGTGAAAATATCGGTTGGGGTTTTTCAGACCGGCCTCGTTCTAAACCGGCCTTGACAAGCTTGCTAAACACACACGCACACACAGACGCACGAATCTTGCCGGGTTTTCGCCAGTTTGTCCCTTCAGAAAGCACCATGTTCAGGGGTTGGCGGTTTCCGCGAAAACGCGAGTGAACATCACCTTCAGCAAGTGTTTGAGTGCTTTGGACATATTCTTGCAGCTCTTTTTGGAGACGTGCTTCTCACTCATTTTTTGAGGGCCAATTTCTGCTGGCTTTTTCAGTTTCCTGTCCCCCCATGATTTCCTTTGAGAAAGCAGCTCCAAAAGGGGTGCCCCTTTTATATCCACTATGCAACACTACCCCCCAATGTGGGAACGGGAGCATGGCTGTTTATCAACGCAAGCCCCCACACGGGTGAAGCGTCTCAGCAAGCCGCGCCGCATCTTGGTCTATCTCAAAATAGAATATGGATCCCCCAATCTGGTTTGGTGTCCTTTTGGATTGTTGTTTGCATTGTTGATTCCCCTTCAGCCCCCCAAAAACCAGGAAGGTCTACCTGCCCCGTTTTTGGGCGGCAACCATCCTTTGCCATGGCCCCTTCCTTCTCGTGTTGCCAGGGGCCCCGCCCGTCTCCAATCTCCCGTCTCCGCGAGGAGTCCATACGGAACGTGAAGAGCCGCGGCATCTCAATGTCCATGGGCTGTACCTGGATAGAGGACACCCGCGATCTCCGGGACGAATGAACTGACCTGTTAGTCAAACCAGTTGATTCATGTGGGGGTGGGGGATTCCAGCCCTCCAAAAGTGGTAAAGTATTCCCCACTAAAGCCAAAAACACCCCCCCGCTGTCAGGTTCTATGTTAATTGGTGGGAGGGTACCTGTTTAACTTGTGTCTTTTTGGGGCTTCCTTCAACTTTTTGCAGGGTGTCTAAGTCCGGCCCAGTCGTCTTCGGAGTCCGGAGGCCACTATAGTCAACCTTCTCTTGCCAGAAAGGGGGATTCCAGTTTCCGCATCGTATGCATCCGAAACTAGCTAGATGGGAACCCATATCCTTTTTTTTTCTCGGTTTCATATGGCCATGAGTTGTAGCGGGAAACACCCTCGCAAACGGTTGGTGGACATGAATCCTGACCTAAATGATGCCCACCAAAAGCGCCCCAATATATATATATATATATATAAAAAGCCAGGAAGAAACTTCATCCAGGAAATCCAGCCCACCCCTGGGGCGGGGTTCCCCATATTTCCCCTTAAAGGATGGCGGCGTTGAACATCACTTTTGGGCCCACTTTGAAGGGTGGTTCCTCTAGGTGATGTGTATAGGAGTATCTAGAAAGCTGATAGTTTCCACCCAACTGCAAGCAAACCCTCCAAATCAGGGTGAGCAAGGGCCTTGCTTTAGGCACTCGGTCCGCAACACTCTCGTCGTGGACAGGGGGAGCAACGAATGAGTGTTTCTTAAAATTAGAGTCCAATTCCTGCAGGTGGGCCGATACTCTGAATGGGTCCAAAGTGAATGCATAGCAGCAACCCCTGTTCCACTTGCATCCCATGCCCGTGTAGGTTTCCTCTGCAACTCGCTTTTTGAGGGGCGCGAGATCATTTGGGTCTGTCGTTTTTGAGGGTACCCCATTTTTGTGAATTTTTAAAGCACACCTCCTGGTTTTCACCCAACCATGGAAAAAGGGCTCGTACGTCCCAACCCCCGAAGCTCTCCACGGGTCTTTTAAGCATGGCTCTTGACGCCTTGCCACACGACCACACCATGTTTTTTTTTGTTGTTGTTGTTTTTTTCCCGGTTCGCGAGGCAGGGTCCCTCTTCTGATTCAAACCTGGTCTTTCGGGGCAAACCTGATCTTTCGGTGCTTGCTAAAATGAGATTCCGTTGTGATGTGTTTAGGTTATAAGGAACCCTCAAGATTTCCATGGTTGGACATACAAGTTTCGTTTTTTGTCTCGACACATTGTTGGGTTGGACTTCTAGGTGTTTTTGTTAGGCTGCTTCCCTCAGAGTTTCCACGTGATGGGCCAAACGAGACAAACCGATGCGGCAACCACGCGACGGGTCTACACGCCCCTTGGAGCCGGCAGGATGGAATCGAGCTGCAGAGGGCCATTGTGAGCGAGCGAGTGGATGCTGAGCTGCAAGAGAACTGGTTGCCGTGCAAGGGGCTAAGTTTCACTTGGGGTCTGGGATGCTATTAAACAAAATTACCTCATCATTGGAGAATCATGTGTCTAGTTGACTTGAAGAGCCCTTTATACTATGATTGAACTGGTTGAACGCTCCCAACCGACCGACCGACTGACCGACCGACCAACCAACCAACCAACCCAATACACGCCAGAAATTGAATATCCAATCCAGGAATTGAATCATCAACCGATGCGGAGGTCAAACGAGCAAAAGCCATGATGTAGGTCCTGTACTTGGACCTGGCTCAATCGAAACTTAGCATCGGAGCCAAATCATCTTGCGGGCCAGAGGGAAGTAGGTCTAAAACCAAAATAGTTGATCATGGGATTGCGGGGCTCAGATGTTTGTATTTCTGTTGCGCAATGGCAGCACCTTGGCAAAGCCTTGGCACAGCGTGACCGGGCCCTTTCTGCCAGTGAAAAAAGAGCGCCGCGAAAGGGATCATGAGTTGGCTTGCATCTTAAGGAACCGCCTTAAAAGTGGTCGGTGCAGAAATCTTCTGCTTCTTGCTTATCCTTGCTTTGAAGAAACAAACCAGGGTATATCTCGCTGAGTTGGGGGGGAGCTTTTGTTTGTCCTTGAAACCAAGTTGGAAACGGATACCCCTACGGAAGCACACTCAGTCTTAGGTTGCGTCCTCTTTGTGTAGGTTCTATAGCTGAATATGCTGGTTGCTTTGAGGCGACCTACAAGAAGGATGGCGCTTTGGGTTTGTCCTGGTAGAGGGAAACCTGGTCAATGTTCGAAAAATGTAATTTCTATTCTTTCTCGCGCCGATTTGGTGAGCGACACGGAGCAGGCGCCCTTTCGAGTGACACGGAAAAGGCGGCCTTGTCCCTTGCAACAGGGTCTCTTAAAACCCTTTCTAGCTGATTTAGAGGCCTTGTAAAACAGTTGGTTTTTGATGTATTTTGGAAAGCCTGTGTAAGGCTGCGATGGTTGCACTGCCCCTAGAGCAATCCAAAGGAGAAGGATAAGTTGTTTGATTTTGCCACGCCCCTTGTAGGAAATCCTGTGTGTAATAGTGAAAAAGGGGTGTGGGCGGGTCTCGAGGGTTGCTAGGAGTATACCAATCAAAAGAAGGTCCTTTCAAGAAGACACAAGTTCATAGGAGGTTCCCTCAAAATAATCGCAAAAAGGGGGCTCCCTAAGCTTCCCACCACAAATCGAGGGGCTCGCTCGTTTGATGTGCTGCAAGGGAACCAGATATTCTCACCGTGGCGAATATATGGATCATTTGGAAGAGGAATCCGGCGTTGCGAGAAAGGGTAGCCTCAAAAAGACACACCCGCATGGGAAAGCACGCCTTGGGAATATGTTGGTTTCATTAAAGGGGGGGCCCAACGCCCTAAAGTCCCTAAAGCAAGGTCGGCTCCCTCCCCCTCCCCCTCCCCCTTCCCCCTAAAAGCCACCGATGATCCAACGGGTCGTCGAAAATTGCCAAGGAGTTGGCGCTGAACGTGATCCTGGTGGCCCCGGCCACAGAGCAGCCCCGGCCACAGATCGCGCAGTCGGCTTGGGGTTGGCCCCGATGAAACCCCCTGGGTCCCAGGTGCCCGTCACCAACTGGTTTTGGGGAGGGCTCCCCTAGGAAAATGCAGAAGACAGTTGGCGCCCTTATTCTAACCTCTCTACTGGAGGACCACCCATTTTCAGGGCCACGGTTTCTCTTGGTGCATTTTCTACCACTAACCCTCAAGCAGTTGAACTTTTTGCTCAGGGGCGATAGCCACCGAGTTAGGGTCTGTCCCGAGCATCTTTTATTGATGATGTCAAAGGGAAACCAAAATTGACACCGAAAACCCCCCTATCGAGGCATTGGTCCCTAATTTTGAGAAACGCCCGTAGTTTCCCGGTGCCTTTATACTGTGCATATACAGATGTATATGCTCACCCCCCATGATCCACGCCCAGCAGGCCCAACCTTGTGCCCAACCTTCTGCTTCACAAAATGCAAGCTCCAACCAATGCTTCTAAACAACCTCATCCATCTGCTTCCTGGCAGAATCTGCAAAACATCTGAGTGCTAAGCAGCTAAACACCCCACATCAGAAGAACGGAGCCAGCAAACAAGAACGAAGCTAGGCACCTGCCGCGTCAAGTAGCGTTTGAACGAATGAAGCACGGTTATGTCAGCTTCCTTGCAGAATGGGCCGAGGTCAAGTTGGGAGCACACATCCCGCCCCTGACGGCTTTTTTTTTGAAAACTCGAGGTTTTTTTTCTTCTTTTTTTATACTGTTCCAGAAAATCACAACTGAGAAAACAACACTATTTGAACTGACAAATTACACAGTATGTTCTTTCCGCTCGAATTTATTTACAATTCAGCTGGCAGTTGAACACACATAATGGAAACATAGTTCAACTTGAGCTTCCATTGGAAGAATAATGTGCACGCACTTGCATGCCATCACACAATCAAAAGACTGTAAACCTAAATATTTGTGCTGCAAAAACGCAGCTTTCAGGAATGTGAAAAATGCAGCCCCCAGGAATCTGAAAAACACCGCCCCCCAGGAATCTGAAAAAAGACAGCCCAATCTGAAAACGCAGCCCCCAGGACGACCCGCCCTCCATCGTTACAGCCTAAAATGAACGGCTTTGTTTGATTTCAAACGGCTGGAACAGACCCTTCGCATGGCGCCCCGTCTCCTTTTATACGTTTTTGATTGTACCAATGGCCCATACAGTTTGCCTAGAATTTGTGGAAACATGTGTATACATGTGCCTTCTCTTGGGGTTGGTTGACACGGTCACCAACATCTTCCCTTGTAACTTCTAGTGAGGAACTGGCCATGTTTCTGACCCACATGAGGTGTTTTGATTGTGTACTTTCTTTCTCGGGACGCGTGGGCATGCTCCTGGTGAATTAGTGGCGTGTTGTTAACGCGTGAGCGTGGTAAGTGGCACGTCGGTCCTTGAGGTGTGAGCATGTCTGGTGAAGTAGGTGGCGCCTTCTTTCTGGAATTCCATGGGATGCGTCGGCCTGGGTCAAGTGCATGGCGTTCCTGGTCAAGCAAGTTGCGTGTGCTTCCTTGGAACCTGTAGGCCCGTTCCTGGTCAAGTAAGTGGCGGGCTCTTCCTTGGGCCGCGTAGGCATGTTCCTGTTTTTGCTCTGCCGCTTGAGCATGTTTCTGGTCAAGTGAGTTGAGTGCGCTCTTGGCACGTTCCTGGTCAAGTCTAAATTGCTTTGAAAGCGGCGGGCCTGTGTCAAGTCAGCGATCGACTTTCTGCGTGGATCGGTGTGGTCGATGTGCAGGAACTGAGGACATGTTCGGCTTTCCAACATGCGCGCGGGATCGGCCTGGTTGATGTCCAATACATGCTCAAGATCGGCGAGGCCTCGGCCCGTGCTGTGGACCTCGTGCTGTGAGGCGCTCCGGCTGCCGTTTCGTCAACGGAGCTTTTTCGGCCCGTCTGTGTACAGGTTGGGCGTTGGCCGAAATTGCTCCGTGTTTTTTGTAGAGTTTGGCGCGTGGTGTCTGGAGTTTCGCGCGTGGTGTCTGCCGTGACAGATGAGCTGCGGCGGCAAAGTGGGCAGGCGCAATGTTGAGTGTCATGGTAGCGCACGGCGCGTTGCGGGTGTGCGGGTAGGTTTGTGGCGCAGTCCTTTGCGGGAGGGGCAGTAGCTGGCAAAGGAGTGCCTCCGTTAGAGCCAAGCCCATGGTTTTGCAGACAAAACGGGATATCCGTTGATGCGATCCTGACTTCTGCAAGGTGGCCTTGTGGGAAGCGTGCACGGTCTTTTGGCAAATGTACGGATTTCAGGCAGATGCACGGAAAATTGAAATTCTACTTTTTGCGGTTCGCGCGCGACCCTCTCCGCGGATTGGCGTGGTCGCGGTTCGTGCGCGACCTCTCCGCGGCTGGGCGTGGTCGATGTGCAAAAACTGCGGACGTTCTGTTCTCTACTTGTTGGCGCGCGACCCTCTCCGCGGAGTTTGTGCGGTTCGCGTGCGACCCTCGTGTGAGCATGTTCCTGGTGTAAGTGGTGTGGGTCAAGATTTTTGAATGCGCATTCTGCCGGCACTTGGGGCTTGAGCAGTTTGACATGTTTTGGAAGACACAAAGCTTAGGCTGTGTGTGTTTTGGGAGGGTGCTCTTCTTAACTGGGTTTAACGGGAAGCCAAAAGGAAAACCGCCAGATTGGGCCCCGTTATTTTGACGCTTGTTTGAAGTGATGGTCGCAGGGGAAATATGGCCGAACAAAATATAGGGATCACCGTCTGCAGGCCCAGCTTTAATATCTAGTTCAGCGATGCTTCATGTTGGCTGATTCTGGCCGTCTTTCACCAGCCTTGTGCCATGTTGCAGGCGTTGGCAAGTTCCTATTCTGTTGTGGCCTTTGTGGCTTCATGTTGCGAGCCGAGCTTCTCAGACCACAAGTGGCTTCCGTTGGATCCAACTCCATGGCACGTAGGCATTCCTGCGTCCCCCTCCCTATTGGGCAAGTTGCCTCATCCCAGAAGCGGGTTGCAAAGCTGCCGTGTTCTTGTCCGGGCTCAAGGCCTCTTGCAACCTCAATTGCAAGCAAGACACCAGCCGGACACATCGTCCCGTAAGCCTTTACCAGGACTTGAAGGCAAGGTCCGATTTGGGGATGCAAGTGTGTAACAGTTGGCTTTTGCCTTGCAAGGTCATGGGCGCCGCTGAGTGACAACCCACGCGCAGCGACCGCATTCATGCGGTGTTTTTGAAATGAGTGGAGCTTGAAAGTTGTCTTTTTTCTGCACATCCACAAAGCAGCAGGCACTGCAAGGGCCCAGGGACTGATATATCATAGTATCAGATGCTGGCAAAACAAGCTGACACAGTGCAAAACTTCGACAGGCAGCAGAAGCTGCTGCTGCTTGCGTTCTGGCCAAAGCCTTGGGGCTTCGACTATGTTTACACTTGCATGCGCTGTAGGGTCTGGACCGTGCGTCCTTGGGTCTCTGCCAGCCACACCGCAGGCAGACGCGGCCCGCTGCGCAGCTCATTGCCAGCGAGGGTATTAGTTGCACTTTTCCAACTGAACACAGTACAGCGTGAGAAGGTGTTCTCCGCAGAGTGCGCCTTTCCTTTTTGACTAGTGTCCGCTCAAGGACGTCTTGCTGTGCCGGAGCACGTAGCTCGGCCGCTGCGGCCAGCGCGGCCAGCATGGCGTCCGTAAAAGAAGCGCGCAGCTGCCTCGAGAAGACAACGAGGAAACCCTTGATTCGCTGTGTGGCAAGCCGCTGTGCCGCACTCTCGACTTGCATGAGCCCAGTATGCCTTGCCTGTAGCAGTAAATTTAGCGCAATTATCCCGCCAAGGTTCCCCCAATTTGCCCCCAAATTTACCCCCAATTTCCCCAAAAGGTGCACCAATTTACCCTTCAAATTTACCAATTTACTGCGAATTTTCCGCCAAATCGTCAAAAAATCCAACCAAAACCTCAATTCACCCCCACATCTACCCCCCAATAATTTACCATCAACTTACACAAATTTGCACCCAATGTTAGGTAAATTATCCCCCCCCCCCCCCCCCAATTGTGGCGCCACCAATTTTGGTCAATTTTGGTGGAGATGGGGGCAAGTAGCGAGTCCCAACAAATTGGGTGGTAAATTCTTTGTTTCCCACCGTTTTATGAAGATTTAGCCCCCCCCCCCCCGCTGGGGAAATTGCCACCAGAATTGGTTGCACACTTCCCCAAAATCAGGGGACAATTGCCCCCACCATTTGCTGGCTGCAGGGTTCGGGACTGCCATCACACCCCCAAGCGTCTTGTCTTCGCCGGGTTCTCCTTTGGCATTGTGTTACATTTGAAAGCTCACTATAAATGTGGACGCCAGTCTAAGATTCCCACATTGTGTTAGTTGGGGGCAACAAGCGAAGTAGTTTAACGCATCCGGGCCGCTGACGGCGCTGCGTCATGTCTGGGGGTGGAGCGTTTGATTTCCTGTTGCAGCAGTGATTGGCTTCGCACCTGGCTTCCAGACAAACGACAGATTTCATGCCCCCAATCACTGGACCGACTTCCTTGCTTGGTTTGTGACCATTTGCACGGCGCTTTGGTTATAAAGAAATTTATTCGTTTGTCATTTGTTCCTGTATGTTCCCATCAAGGGCGCGCAAGACACATCGTGGTTTTCAATTCATGTTGCACGGTGTTGGCAAAAAGAAGCGCATAGACAACCAATTGTAGCCGCCATGTGAAGTGAGAATGATGTAAACTGACCACCCTTCCCAAACCACCATGTACTTTGCCACGCCATTCAATTTATGGAGTTTGGAAGTACACTGTTGGGATTCCCTTTGTTCCATCAAGCAGGTGGCAAGGTGGCACTGCGAAAAACGCTCAAAGCACCATTTTAGAAGAAAGACTCAAGACGCCATTTAGCCTTTTAAAAAACCTTGCAACATTCTGGCAGGTCAGGGGCAAAAAGTGGGGGCCCCCACAAAATTCTGTAAAGTCCCAACTGTCAGGCTGTGGAAGCCAAAAAGAAATGGGGTACTCTCAGCCCTATTTTTCAACTGGAAGCTCAAAAATAGGGGCCTCTCAGAGGTTTGGAGCTCAAAATGCTGAGAGGCACCTGTTTTCTGTTGCGCTCGAATGAGCTCAGTCTGCTGCATCTGAAACCTGTTAGCAGTCAACAAGCCTTATCTAGAAAACGCATCTGCTAAACAATCCAGATTGTCTGTTTCATCGCATGCCACTTGAAAAATGCAGCCTGATCAGGCCAACATGCTGAGGAAGCACTGTATTTTACAGTGTTTTCTTGCATACCACGGTGTAGTTGTGGATCAGGGGGCGGGTGACCAGTAAAACAAATATATTTGTATATATATATATATACACCCCAAGGTTTAGTCCCTAAAGGTTCCACTGACCAACTTTGAGCTTCTGAGTTGGTGCCTCTGGTTGTTTTCGCGAGGCCAAACAAAACCCATGTAGAGAGGAAACCAACAAACACATAGCATCAGGATGAGGGGAAGGAAACATAGGTTCAGCCAAAGGGCCGGGAACGGACCACCCATTTTTGGGCTGTGACGTGTGGCTTGGCCCATCTCGTTTGGTTCAGAAGTGTCATTCGGGAGAGTCCCATCATGTGTCGTTTTGACTAGTTTACTTGGTGTCAATGAAAGCATTTGGGAGGTCCAAGCCGGGGACCGGAGCGACTGGGGTCGGGCCTCGTTTTTTAGGTGGTTCAGCGCCTTCCCCGCGGACGACAACGGCCGCTCAGACGGGGACTACGTGCTGTCCCCCTCGCAGTGGCACCACACGCAGCCGGGGGCTGAGAAAACGGGGGAGGGGGGAGCGAGGCCGAGATTTGTATGGGTCAGAAGTGGTGCCGCCAGGATATGGACCGCAGGCTTTTGGTCCTTTCCATCTATGTTGCTTGGCTACCCTATGTTTGGCTTTTGAGACCCACAGCCAGATGTTGATGGACGGAATCCTGCAAGGATGGAAGCCCGACTTGAACACTGTGAGCCACTGATCAATTGGTGCAGGAGTTTTTCCATTGGTAGATCGGTAGGTATGCCGCAAAATAAGGGGGACCCGCAAAATCGACGGTCTCCTTTGGTCTCTCTTTAAACCAACCCCAAGAAAGGTACCGAGCCTCAAAAAAACACCGCGTACTTGGGGAATCTTCGCGTACTTGGGGAATCTTCGTCGGAATGCGCCACTCAACCATCCAACTGGCTTCCAAGGCAATCCCCTGAGAAGTTGCTTCACTTAAGGATAGCATGCGAGGAGGCCTAGACCTGTTGGGATCCCCTTCAAAGCGCATTCGGATGCTTTAGTTTCGGGTTCCAACGAAAATTCCAACTGAGAACCACCTCTTTGGTGTTGACATCGCCAGGAACTACCGAGATGAATCTTCGGTGGGTGACACCAGTACCTTCTCGCAGGAGTTCAAAGCAGAGACCGGCGGCGCCCAAACTGAATAGCTTGGGTGCTGGTTGGTTGGGTCGTTCAGCTGAAGCGTTTTTGGCTTTGACATGCTTGCATCTTCCGACCCCGCAAAAAGTCGTGACTTTTATGCGGCAGGGCCACTTTTTTGCGTTTTCATGGTGCGACTTTCGGCACCATAGGATGGAGTTTCTCAGGATCAGAACTGCTATCCAAGTTCTAAGAACCATTCCCGAAAAGCTCCATAGATTTTCCGCTGGAGTTGGGATCCGAATGAGCTCCGTCGGAGCCCTTTGTTGAGTTGGCTATGGGGTTTTGCCAACCAACGGCTCCAGGCTGAGGTTCCTGAAGGCTTGCGCAGGTAGCGCAAGCTGCCATCCCCGGCTTTTTGAAGACATGGGGGTGGTATTTGGGTCATTCCCTCCCACCCATTTGCCATAAATCAAACATCTTGGACTGAAATGGGGTTGGGGGTGGGGGGTGTGATGTTAAGGTGGGGGGGGGGGTTTGGGGGGACCAGTTTTTCTCGAGCTCCAGCCCATGAGCTGAAAGATTATACAGAGGTTGTTTCTGTTTTCTTTGTTCCTTTTTTTTTTGGGGGGGGGGATTGCAAAATATCCTAACACTCCTATGAAGCCCCGTATGGATGTGGTTACAAATAGGGGGGAACCCTGTGGGTTTCCTGGTGGTTTCCCGTTAAACAAACACGTGTGAGGTGATCCTGATTACTTGCTGGCCTCCTGTGTCACCGCGGGTATCGTTATCGAGAAAGCCATGTCCTCGGTGAATTGGTTCGGCCGGAACCAGCGGCTTGGCAGGACAATAGTAGGAAGAAAAGCAGCGAACCAATGGGTTCTTGGGGGGGGTGTTTGGTTGGATCTTGGACTATCTTTGACCTTTTATCTGTTGGGGAATGGGTATTTGCTCACGAACCCGCAAAAAGTGATGAACGGGTTTAAGAGCACTCCCCCAGCTGACAGAATATCGTTTTGGACTCCGCCTTCTTCTCCCCCAGTTTTATTTATTTGGGCCCAGCGAACCTGGTCTTGGGATCTGGACCTGAGAACTGGGTCCTTTTGAGGAGCTTCGAAGTGGCTGAGTCGGCTCAAAGCCGACCATCCCATCCGGGCTTGTCAGAAGCCAAAGGGGAGCTCCGAAGGTCGATCTATGCCATGGTCTCATCACACCACCCAAAAAGAGTTCTTTTTGTTTGCTGGGGGGGGAGACACATATATATATTTTGAGACGTGTCAATGTCTCTAACAATGGCAATCCTTGAACTTCTTTGAACCTCGAACGGGTTTGCCGTGTCTTTCTTGAGGGTTTTCCGCTTGGGACACCAAACCCCAGCCCTTAGGTTTGCTTGTTGAAAATCCCTTTTTGTGGGTCCCGAGTATCCGCCTTGGGAACATGTGCAGTTCAACAAGAGGTGCAGCGACTTTGCGGCCTCCTCCCCATTCGTGCACGCAGCCTTTTGGCAGACCTCTTGAATAGCAGGGTATGATTTTTCTCAAAGCGCCGTGTGTCTGGAATCGACCCCTGGGACCGTGAGACCCCCAAATGGAGGATCCAGAGAGAGGTTGTACCGGCCACCCTGAAAACCCCCGGGTCTCGAGTTCCTATGTCTTTCTAACCTGAACATTGTGTTGTTTGCTTTCATACCCCAAATCGGAGTTGAGGGAAACGTTTGATGGCCAGGTTCATCCTTTTCCTTCTTCCAGACACAATCAACCCTAAAACAGTCACAGTTGATGGGCAAAACTATTCGCAACTGGACCCAAATCAATGGGCCCGGCGCCAGAGCTTGCCTCCCCAAACTGGAAATCCACAACACCTCATCCCTGGCTGGGATGTTCTTGTGAAGGTAGCCACAGAGTTGTATTAAACACGGGGCCCTGCCAAGAAAAAACTGAGAACTCACAGCCCACAGCCCCTCTTTTTGTAGGTTCTGTAGTTTGAATCCGCGTGCATGGGGTTTTCCAGCCATGCCAAAGGGGGCTTTGCATGGAACCCACGAAACTGAGTGGTTTTGGGTTCCCACGGCCAGCTTTGGACCTGCGGGTGGGTTCCCGCCGACCAACTCGATCCTGGATCCGAGAAAGAAAACAAACCGAGGTTCGACGACAATGCCTTGCGTATTGCCACCCGGCCGCTTGGCTTGGCAGGCCGCATCTTTCAATCGCATCGGGCTTGATTTGCAAAAGTCTGATTTGAAGATGTATTTGAGGGGGTGTGCTTTTGAGGGTACCCCTTTTTCCGCTTGGTTCAAAGGACAACCAGTGGAAAGCCGGAATCCGTTTGTGGGGCGCCCCGATTTTGACGAATACCCAGACAAACGCCAAGATGATCGCCAAACAGAAACCCTGGTGGGGGGGGGGGGTTGTACCATTCATTGACAGCGACGTTCTCTTGGCAGCTCGGCAGCCCTTCCCCCCCCAAAAAAAAAGAAGAAGAAGAAGAAGAAGAAGAAGAAGAAGAAGAAGAAGAAGAAGAAGAAGAAGAAGAAGAAGAAGACAAACAATAAAAGAAAAAAACGAACAAAAGAACAACAACAGGAGACTGAGGTTTACCTTGAGAAGGTACGCATGCTTTGAAGAGTTGTAGCTATGAGTTCTGAATTACTCGGTCCTCTACATGGATTGCTGTGACATGCTGCTCTTTGCTGCTGCTCATTGAAGCCAGAGTAGTTGAATTCTCTTAGCGTCTTCGTTTTCATTCTCTGTTGGCATTCATCCAATAGTTCAAAGAAGGACTAGAATCTAGTATTCAAAGACAAACTGTCGCTCTTTTTTTTCCTTTTGAAAAGGAGTCAAACAGACAGTAGAAACTCAACAAAAAAACAGTTTCAGTTATTGGTTCACACGTTTTTTTTGTCAAGGCTTCAAGTTTGAATAGGGTTTTGAAATAGATTTCAATGCGAATTCTTGTTTGATGAATTGTATTTTAAATTCGATTTTGTTTCCAGGATTTTGGTTAGACTTTGAACTCCAACTAGAATTTAAGTAGAAACTAATAAGGAAAGACAAACTGGTTTGTTCTTCTAATTTGCCTGCCCCTGAAAAAGAGTGCAAATTCAATTCCAGCTCCATTGGCTTGCAAGCTTTCCCAAAGCGTGAAGGTTAAATGCTGAATTTGACCTCAAATCGATTTGTTTTCCGAGTAAGGCTTTAATTATAATTTAATTAGAATTCGCAGTTCAAGTTAGAGTAAAAGCAGAATTCCTTTCCAAGTAGGAATTTGATCAGAACTTCATTGATATTTGAATAGAATGCAGGTGAAACACGGGCTAGTCTCAAAACAAGGGACACCCCAAAACGGGTTGTTTCCATTGCTTTCCCAGCACGCCCGAAAAAAAAAAAAAAAAAAAAAAAAGACAAGAAACAACAAACTGGACTTACCTGGAGTAATGGGCCATATTTTCTTAATATCCCAAAAGGACACCAAAATCCAGGGCCCTCTGAACTCCCACTTAACCCCCAACTCCCTTTCTGAGGGACCTTCGTGTTGACACCATGTACGGCGGCGTGCGCTTCGACAACGTGAACCAAAACGTGGGCCACGATGCCACCGCCGCCTCGGATGCAGAGCGTGACAACTGAGCTCATGGACTTGAGTCACTTTTTGGGTTTGGACCGTTTTGGTGTTGGACCATTTTGGTGGTAGATCGAAAGTTTTGCTTCGTGGCAAATCGAAAGTTTTTGCATGTTGGTGGTAAATCAAAAGTTTGGGGACTTTTTTTTGCCAATCCACTCAGGAAGTGAGCAATGCAGAACCTGTTGGGGGTTGTTTTCTGGTGGAAAACCATGGGGACAAATGCAGGAAACAAGACAGGGCTAAATGGGCAACATCTGGCAGTGAAGTGGGA